TCGTATTAATGTCTCCATTTTTCTTCATTCCATATTATGTGCAAATTCACACTTACAATGAACGAATATAAAGTAAAGTTTAAAGATAAACGTTCAATTCTCCTAATTTATCATTACAATTATTTTTTAATAATCGTATATTTTATTATATAAAAATTACATGATGATAACATGAGATTTTCTAATAGTTGTACTTATAAATTCGCATTTTTTTGATATTTCTTTATCATGATATATTGGATTGGAGAAAAAGTTCTGCGGATTTTTTTAGCTCAAAATTATATACAGAATATATTTGTTACGAAATTTTGCAGCAATTTATATACAAAAATAAAAATTCTGCATATAAAAAAGTAACACCTTTAATTAAAATTGGAACACTCAATTTTCACACATATAAAAAGATTATGTATATATAAGGTGTCATTAAAATACGGCACCATGCTGAGCAGATAGAATGGACTAAATTGAAGTCGAAAAGTCCTGTACCATTTTGAGATTTTCGCAATGATTAACGAGATATTAATTACTAAAAAAATTGCTAAATTGTTTTCAATAATTTTTTTACTGAAATACTATCTTTACAGAAAAATTGCAAAAGGAAAAAATCATTTATTTTTTTCTCATAGAATTTTAAGAATTTTTTCAGAATTTTTTATCAATTTTTTAATACTGCATTTTCTTATTTTTATTACCATGAGAAAATACAGTATTAAAAAATTCTGAAAAAATTTTCAGAATTTTACAAGAAGAAAATAAATTATTTTTATAATGCTTGCTGTTTTTCTGTAAAGTTAATAGTATTTAAGTAAAAAATTATTAAAAACTAATATTTAGCAATTTTTAGTAATTAATATCTCATTAACCATTGCGAAAATCGAAATAAGAACTTTTCGACTCTATCTACTCAAGATGGGTAGTACCGTATTTTAATGACATAACCTTGTATACTTGTGCCTTGATAATTGATACATGAAAATCAAATTTGTCAAATATTAAATTATTTTTAATAATTTTTTTTGCAGAAATAATTTTCATAATAATTACAATTATCTTTAAAAAATCATGTATATATTATTAATTATTGTAAAACATAAAATTTAAAAAAGAAATATATAAAAAAAAAAGAAAGAAGAAGGGAAAGAATTAAATCTTTGATTATTTGATAATGTTACTTAAAAAGTATATTAATATTCAATAAATATATTCAATAAAAATAACAAATAGTTTCTGAAATCGTCCATTAATTTAGATTAATATATTTAAGTGTTCAGGCTTGTAAACTTTGATTAATTTAATCGACGATTGAGTTATCAACCTACAGATACTATTTTGTTAACATAGATAGATAATAATCTTTTTTTTTGTTGTTTAATTAATATGTACCTAGAGAACATATTTGAAAGACATCCAAAAGATGTCTTAAACTTTCATGAATTTTAAATTGTCTTTATCTTAAGATACACTACATCTCAAGGGAAATGAGAATATGTACGTAAAATCAAAAGAAAAAAAATAAACATTTAACCGAAAGAGTAATTGAAACGTGACAAGTATGGCCATCTTCCGAGATTGCTCCATATTATTTTAAACTGATTCTTGATAGGTCGGTATATGATCACGATTGACACGACTACCGTCGCGCCTGATGCCCCGCATTCGCGCATGCGTGTTGTTCACAGCTTAACGCGCAGTGCTGTAGCCATTAGGTTAGGTTAAAGTAACGATGTGGTACTGTGGACCGCGAAGTCTGCAAGCCAAACCGGAAAACAGGAGTTACGAGGAATTCCAAAAAGAAAATAGAAATGAAGTAAAGTATTTTAGGTCAGAAAATGATCGCAATTTCAGAAAAAAGTCCACAAAAAAAGATATCCGAAAATTTAGAAGATGAAAATATCTTTAAAGATTGGTTGACAGAGAATAACAATAAAGCTTGAATAAAAATTTATAATATTTCGCTTAAATATTGTCGATATAATTTATCAAGACATGCCCAATTAGTTTCTCATACAGATAATTTAAATAGTGTTAAGAAATTGATATCCCATAATAAGAAATATGTTTAATTTCTATATATTTATAATTCTATTTCTCTTTGGGGCGACTAAGGACGCCAGTTCATGAATGGATTAGATACTCTACTGGCGCATACTAGTTTAGACTGTACGCATGCGTGAGTGCATGTCTGGCTGTCACAGTCGCGATTGTTGCGAATAGCAGATTTTCTGTTCTGAACTGTCTAAGAAGCGTAGGACTGCTCAGAACTGATTTTTAAAAAATTTTTTGCGTGTAACTATAGTTAGTTAGAAAAAGTCGGAGATAGTCAGCGCGTTTCTCACAGCTTTCAAATGGCCACACTCGAGGATAAATCTATCTGGGAGGATGGAGAGGTACACGATTCTGCATTTTGCAGGTTATGGCATGAATGACAAGCATATCTAAGCGTATATATACCTATATCCTATTATATTTTGCGAGCAATACAACAGTCAACATTGATTGATTTATATCAATTGATTTATATCAAAATGAGTTATATCACTTTTATTTTTTCTACTTCCTTTTACTTTTTTTTCTCTAGTTGTCTCTTTTAACTCTCTTACAATCAGTTCATTTTTTTCTGTGCATAGTTAGGAAACTTATTTTACTTAAATGCAAATAATATAAAAAGGATGTTTTATAAAATACAAATACCTGTGAATCAAGTGTTTATATTTATACATTTTTCCTGTAAAATTATTGGAATTTATATTAATTATTTAGCTGTCGTTAAGCACTTCAGTTAATCTATTTTTCAGTGTAAATAAATCTAAAAATTTATTGCAGATTTATAATGAATACTTAACATTTTTCACTTCACGAAACAGACTATAAGAAGAAATAATTAAAAGAAGTTATTTTATTTCGTTTTATCTGTAATTTTTTCTGAACTATAAAGAATAAAAATAATACTTGAATTTTTTTATTCATTTTGATCAACAAAAAGTTATATTTACTTTCTCAATTAAAAAAAATGATTTAAATTTTTTTTTAAAGAAGAATTTTACTCTTTACAAAAAGAAGGATTATATATGCTGTATCTTTCATAGGAAACATTAGGAGAGGACGTCCTACGAATGTCTACAGATGAAATTGTGTCGCGTACGCGACTGTTGGATAATGAAATCAAGATAATGAAGAGTGAGGTGATGCGAATTTCACATGAGCTTCAGGCGCAGAATGATAAGATTAAGGAGAATACTGAAAAGATTAAAGTGAACAAAACTCTTCCATACTTGGTATCCAATGTCATCGAGCTATTAGATGTTGACCCACAAGATATGGGAGAAGAAGATGGAGCAGTAGTTGATTTAGATGCACAAAGAAAAGGCAAATGTGCAGTTATAAAGACATCAACCCGTCAAACATATTTCCTGCCTGTGATCGGTCTGGTCGACGCTGAATCTCTGAAACCAGGTGACTTGGTAGGTGTCAATAAAGACAGTTATCTTGTACTAGAAACTCTGCCAGCCGAATATGATGCCAGAGTCAAAGCTATGGAAGTAGATGAGAGACCTACAGAGCAATACTCTGACATCGGTGGATTAGACAAACAAATTCAGGAACTCATTGAGGCTGTTGTGTTGCCTATGACGCACAAGGAGAAGTTCGAGAATCTAGGAATACAACCCCCCAAGGGTGTTCTACTTTATGGTCCACCTGGAACTGGAAAAACTCTATTAGCTAGAGCCTGTGCTGCCCAAACAAAATCTACCTTCCTAAAATTGGCTGGTCCACAATTGGTACAAATGTTTATTGGTGATGGTGCTAAATTGGTCAGAGATGCATTTTCGTTGGCCAAAGAAAAAGCTCCAGCGATAATATTCATTGATGAACTAGATGCTATCGGCACAAAACGTTTTGACTCGGAAAAGGCGGGAGATAGAGAAGTACAACGTACGATGTTGGAGTTATTAAATCAATTGGATGGCTTCAGTTCGACCGCTGATATCAAAGTAATTGCTGCCACAAACAGAGTCGATATCTTGGATCCAGCCTTGTTGCGATCCGGCCGTTTAGACAGAAAAATCGAGTTTCCACATCCCAACGAGGAGGCCAGAGCACGCATTATGCAAATTCATTCGCGTAAAATGAATATGTCGCCTGATGTGAATTTCGAAGAATTATCCAGATCCACGGATGATTTTAATGGAGCACAATGTAAAGCTGTCTGTGTAGAAGCGGTAAGTATTTAAATTCGAAATAAATCAATAATAACAAGCATCAATTCTCTTCAATGTTAAATATAAAATTATTTCTCTTCTATTTATGTTTCATTAATATGTTATTTTAACTCTAAATATCATATTACTCAAGAATTAATATATTGCTCATTCAGTTAATATCCTACTCGATTTTATTATATACATATATAATTTGTTAGAATAATAATAAGAACATACTGTGTTTCTCAGGGTATGATAGCATTACGGCGCAATGCAACAGAAGTCACTCATGAAGATTTGATGGAAGCTATTAATGAAGTCCAAGCGAAAAAGAAAGCAAACCTGAATTATTATGCTTAATATGCTATGTCGCGTCATTTATTTAAGATATATTTTTTGTATAATAAATATAGGAACATCTCTAATCTTCATTTCTTGTTTTTCGACTAGTATAAGATATACAAAAAACAATGACTCAATGAATACTTTTCAAAGTTGCATGTATTAACACAATTAAAAAAAATGTTATGTTTGTTTTTGCCACAAATTCTTCTTGTCTTCTATTCTCGTACTATTAAAATATTCTTTCACAATGAATTTAAAAATGAAATTTGATATAGGAACTTTTATTAAATATTACATGTACTCGAAGTTATATATAAGTTCTATCACTACAAAAATAAGATTTTAATAACATTTATTTTACGCAAACTGGTACAAAGCATAGTAATAAATGTGAAACCAAAAATTATTACTAGATTATAAAAGGTATATGAAAGAAAACGAACTGAGATATTCACATAAAATATTAATGTTCTTATTTATACAAGAGGCTATATCTGGATGATATTCATGATTCTATTTACTAACGAACATACAAAGTTCTTCATATCTGAGTAGATTATGAATAGATATATAGGACAAAAGAGCAAAAATTTTAATGAAGAAAATATTTCGAGCATTTTTAAAAATGCTTATCAAATATAAAATAATTTGAAATAATACGATAGAAGATATGATAGTAGTCATTAATCTATAATTCTCATCGCCTTCTGTGACTTCTTTTCCTGATTCTATAAAAATAGAAAAATGTAGAATATAAATATTGATATAAATCCAAATATCACTAATTGTATTTATATAATAATATTTACTTTTTTGGTCCTTTTACGAAGCACCAATCGACAGAGATAGCTTGACCTAAGATTTCTGTACCATTTAGAGCCTCCTTTGCAGCTTGTGCTTCCTTAAAAGTTTCATATTCTACCAACGCATAACCTTTCAGAAATCCCGTTCTTCTGTCCAGATTCAAATGCAAGTTCTTAATTTGGCCAAACTCAGAGAATTTATCCTGAATATCATCCTCCTGTGCCTCTTCATGTACTGAATTTATGAATAAGATCCATCCCTCTACAGCTAAAAATATATAAAGATATTAATTATTCTAGTCTTACAAATAAAAATAAAAAATAAATTCTGTAATTCAAACTAAATTAACAAAGCTATGACAAAGATGTTATTACATCTCTGAGGACCAGGCTCATTGTCATCTTCCTCAATAAGATTCATGGATTCGTAATGACCAACATCATCTCTCGTAGATACTAATTCTGCACCATGGCCTCTACCTTTTCTTTTCTTCGCTTTTTCCTTAAGACGCGCGATACCCTCTGGAAACATCAAATCAAAAAAATTGTTTACATTATTCACATTGTTATGATCCGAGTACTATTCTTATTTTTTTCACATTTTCTGTCTAATTTCAAACAAGTTCGATAAAAAAAATTGCATTAATATTAAACATTGAATAATCGTAAAAAATCGCTACTTCAAAATTTGATAATTATTCAGTTGAGCTATCTCATCTTCAGTTTTAATAAAATTTTTTAATAACTCTATAGGAAAACACCGTGTTCTCTTGGCTTAGTAGGAGACATGATGAAATATGAAATGAAATCGAATCTTGGTACGAAATTGAGATTACAATATTCGCAAAATATAATGAACAAAACTCACGATCTCCTTCGTCATCGACTTCAAACTCCTCAGCATTATCGATATCCAAAACATCCGCCATGGTTAGAGTTTCAGTGTTTCAATAATGTGTATATAACATTAATCTTTAAAATATCACGTTTATTATGTACCATTCGCTCAACTCGCCAAATACTTGATGACCATAAACAACTACAAATAATGTAAATGTAAATTATAGATTTAGGAGAAAAAGACGATCTTAGCGCTACTGAACATTCCTGTCACAATGACGAACTAATGTGTGACCACTGAGTAAAGCGGGGAGCACAGACACTTGAAGGCTCCAGATAGTAAAAGGAATAGGGAATAAGACCTATCAGAAACTGTGTATTCCACATGATTTTTAAGTTGAAATTCTTATTCTCTGTTCTCTGTTTCCTTTTATTGCGCGAAGTCCCTTATATAACTCGTAAAATGAGCCATAAGAAAATCAACCAATCAGAGTCCTTTATTTCACGGAAAAGAAGGAAATAAAGCACTTTGATTGATTCATTTTCTTATGCTTCATGTGTCATGCATTATGCAAGAGTCTGTGCTCCCTGCTTTAAGTTAGTTACACACACTTTCCGTAACAATGTTACGGAACTAACCTAGTTTCCATTGAGGATTTAATCCGGATCAGAATCAACCAACTACAGTCGAATATTCTCCTGTTATAATCGAACAACAGGGAAATGCTCAACTGTAGTTGGCTGGTTCTTCTGATTCTGATCCGGATTAAATCCTCGGTGGAAACTAGGCTAGTGGGAGCACAGACTCTTGCATAACAAATAAAGCATAAGAAATTCAACCAATCAGAATTCTTTATTTCATGAAAAGGAAAGAAACGGAGGACTTCAATTAGTTTATTTTCTTATACATTACGTGTTATGCGTTAAAATTTTCGACCAATTGCGTTATTCGATTTTTATTACGGTTTAAATTATCCAATCACATTTTTGTCATAAAGAAACATAAACTACGATTAGATGATTTTCTTTATAGATATTATGCAAGTGTGGAATGGCCCTTAGGGCTGCCGCAGACAAAATTCCGTAACAGTATGCGTAAAGTATAAACTTAAGCCGATCAATCAATCAGGATACTGCTTTAGATGAGATAGACGTAATCTAATGAAAATGAAAATAACAATACTTATCCATAACCTCACAATAAGATAAATTGAAACTCGCCTTACGGATAAGTTAACTGCTATTTCTATTTCCATTAGAGTACGTAGATCTAAAGCAGTATCCTAATTGTCCCATCGGCTTAAGTTCACATTTTAAGATTACTATTATTACAGAAATTTTATGTGCAGCCCTTAAGCTCATTTTATAATGGGCAGTAGCAGTAGTGGATTAAGGAGTAGGCGTAGAAATCAATTAATCATAGTCGAATGTGAGAAAGATAATCAACTATTGTAAAATGGGCTTTACGGACGAGCAAATCGAGCAACACGATTGGTGGAAAATCTATATTTACGATTACTGTTAGAAAGTATGTGTGACTAGCTTAATAAGAGGTTTTCGCATCGCATGCTCTCCAGAGAGCACTTGGATCACAGATAAGATGGTGATTGGAACAGTTGCATTCACAGTTGCGCTCCAATGTTCAGTGACACAAACGGATTTAGGACAAGTGAGCATGTCACTTAATCTAATTCGTGAGATCATTCGAACGGGTGTGCCTCGTTTTGTTTCGCATATTTTGTGTTACCTCGATTATTTGAAAAGCGTTTTTTATATTTAAAAAATGCGTTTTTAATAAATATAAAAGTTATAAATTAAAATGTATAAATACGTTTTTTTTATTATCACTGATAAAGTTACTTTGTAAGTCGAAACATTTGAAATTTATAGCGTTTTACGAATGTAATAAAAAACGAATTTTATTAGTTAATTACATTTGCTCATTTTTTTAAAAAATCTTGATATTTTAATTTATTACATTGCATTTACATGAGCCTATTTTTCTATACAAAAGTTATATTATATTTTTATATTTGTACCAAATTTTTATTAAATGTGTTTTTATACAAAATAAATTTGAAATACTTTTTTCAATACAGAACATTTTCAATCATTACGCATGTAGGCGTAACATGCCCCAATCGTACCATTTTCTGAGATGAAGGGCATGCTCTTAATTGGAGTATGCTCTAATGCGACACGAACATCTAAGGTATTCGCAATTTCCAACATGCTCCAACATGCTCCTACTACAGCTCCTACTTACTTTATCGCATTGGAATGAGTAAGAGCTATGGAGTAGGAGCATATTATACATGTTGGACGCGACAAACCTAAGGAAATCAAACCTCTAGTCGCCATTGTCCCAGACGCGAATGTATTAGAGCGTGTTGGGCATGTTGGAGTGTGCGACGCGAACAAACCTAAGGAAATCAAACCAGAAAGAAACCTTAAGAAAAGACATGACGACCGAAAATCTGTAACAAAATTCTGCCGCGCACTACTGCCCTCTGATAAAGTGGATGTAAATTATAGCAATTTTCTTAAGATATCATCCACTTTTCAAGGCTGGAGATGATAAATCATACTATATGAAACCAAACATCGATTTATATATTTATTTTTATATATTTCTTTTACATCTAATAAACAACAAAGATAGAATAATAGAAATAGCGCTAATAGCGTCTCCCCGAACGCACCTATATATAGAATAGGCAATAGAAGCCCCTATAAATGGAAATGCTCTCTTGAAATCTCTATTTAACAATAAAAATTAACAGCGCATGCGCGATTAAACAAGAATGCTGATCACCATCTCGTTTTCTGTTTCTTTCTATTCGCTCACGCTTTCTTAGGGTTTACAAAAATTGTCGTAACACTTAGGGTCAACGCGATACTGCGAACGCTTTGAAGCGTTTTTTAATTGATCAGTTCTTTCGTCTAATTGGTCTATCAAATGCTTCAAAGCATTTGTAGCGAGACTTTGACCACAGCCTTGTCTCCAAGAAACGATAATAAATCGTACGTCATATGCCAAAACTTATGCGTCTACAACTTAAATCTAAGTAAGTGTTACGACACTTCTTGTGCTCAGACCCTAACAGAATCAGATTAGGTTAGGTTAGCACTTCGGCACTATTTTGGCTTCAAATACTAATTTAATGAATTTTCTCATCACAGTACTTTGTTAATCTAGTGACTTTACACTACAAACACGATTATGACGTCACTGTGATAGCGTATTACGTCACAACTGCGCGTTATCAACGCTACTCCTTCCGAGATAGTGTATTGGTAGCGTTAGCGTTTACAGATTCGTAAATGATCCTAGCGTAGCGTTGGTAGCGTTTAATATTCATCAAGATTAGATTAATGTTTGAAAAGATTCTGTTTCTGACTCAAGTGATACCAAACTTTTCTCTTTTTAGAATTTCGTAGAATCATACGTAACATGTGAATTTCAAATTTTATCGTAGTGAATGCAATCTCAATTTCAATCTCTACAATTGATGGCTTTGCAATTATGGGCAGAGACACAGGTAATGCGGAATCAGATTAGATTGCAAGATCGAATGAAACAAAAAAAATTTAATTTTACATCCTATGTATAGTAAAATTCAATAATATGATATAAAATATAT